GGCCTCCTGCCCACAGCCCCCTGCCCACAGCTCCTGCCCACGGCTCCTGCCCACGGCTCCTGCCCATGGCCTCCTGCCCACAGCCCCCTGCCCACAGCTCCTGCCCACAGCCTCCTGCCTACAGCCTCCTGCCCACGGCTCCTGCCCACAGCTCTTGCCCACGGCCTCCTGCCCACAGCCCCCTGCCCACAGCTCCTGCCCACAGCCTCCTGCCCACAGCCTCCTGCCCACAGCCTCCTGCCTACAGCCTCCTGCCCACGGCTCCTGCCCACGGCCCCCTGCCCACGGCTCCTGCTCCGGGTGGGGGCAGTGTGGTGAGCAGGGAGGAGAGCCACAGGGACCCCACCTCAGGTGGCCTCACCAGCAGGACGGGGCGGGGGACGAGGGTGAGGAGCTGGGAAGGGAGGGCTCAGGAGCCATCTTGGAAATCACGAAACAGAGCCTGTCGGTCCTCCATCTTTCCCACAGTCTCACTCTCCGGCTCTCGGGATGATCACAGTCATGGGACTGACGTCGACAGGAGCGAGGCGTGGGCCCGGGGACCTCGGCAGACGGCCTGTGTGCTGTGATGACCTGAGGCCAGCGGAGGGGACCCCGGTGCCTTTGGAAGAGGTGGAGCCACTCCCTGGAGAGCTTGGCGCTGACCTCTTCACCGGGGCCTTACCGCCTGCGCTGGGGACTTCAGCTGCCAGTTCTCAGCGTGATCCTACACCACAGTTGGTGCCCTTCTAGAATCTTCTCTGTCTTCAAGGACCACCTGTCTCCCAAGCTGAAAATCATGTCTCCTGAGAGGCCGTCCATGGCATCCCAAGTCCCTTCCTCCCTCAGACCCTGAGCTGTCCCGTCTGTAAGCACCCTCTCCTGGTCTTCCAGTCACCGTCTGACACGTTCACACCTTTGTCCTTCCCTGCCCCTGAGTAGTGGTGGCCGTGACTGTGACTGTGTGCTCTTGACTTATCCGTCCTGGCTCCTTCACCAGGCTGCCCCCTGCTAGGGAACAAGGACCACGTCGTCCATCCCTGTGCCCCAGCCTTAACCCGGGGCAGGCTGGAGGCTCTCGGTGGCTGAAGGGAGGAATGAGGGCAGCGGTGGCAGGTGAGTCACCCGGTGACTCTGGTTCAGTAAGTCTGGGCAGGGCCTGGGAATCGGCATTTCCACGAGATTCCAGAGATGCCGAGGCTGTGGGCCGGGGACCACCCTTTGAGGAGCAATGACCTGGGGGAGGTCTGTCCTGCCGATCCTCCGCCCCAACACGCAGGGTCTCCTTTCCCATTGCTCAGAAGTGAGGGAGGGTCACAGAAACCCAAAAAGGGTTGACGAAGGAGGAGGGGAAACTGCAAGGAGCACGGAACCGAGGGGGCTCCAGGACAGAGCTGCACAGCCCCAGGCCCCAGGGTGGCAGGCCCCGGGGACCCGTCTGTCAGGCCCTGGGACTCAGCACAGCTGGGCCGGGCTTCTGCCCAGGGTCTCTCCCGGGAGGGGGGGGCTGTCGCAGGGCTGCAGATGCCATCCCTCACCTCCTCTCCAAGCCCTGGGCTCCACGCACACCCAGTTGGCACCCTTGGCCTGGCTGCTCCGGTAGGTGAGCTTCTACTGTCTCAGGGACAGCTCCGTCCCCCTCTGCACCCGAGGACTCACCAAGGTCCTCTCTGCACCTGACAGATGCAGCCAGAGGTCCAGGAGCTTTACCAGCTAATGATACCCCCCGGGGTCCCCTGTGAGCCCGGGTGGTCCTCTATGGGCCAAGGGACCCTACCAGGTGCCAGGTCACCGTTCCGCCTGGGGTCAGCACGTTCCATCTTGGATGAGTTCCCAGTCACGTTTTCCTAGAGGACTAAAGCAGAGTTTCTCAGCATGTGTCTGTCCCCCATCACAACCACTGTGCCGGGGAGCAGAGCTTTCTAGATACGCAGACTCCTGGGCTGCACCCCAGACCTACTCTCGGGCGCCTTTGGGAGAGGACTCCAGGTGACCGCGGGTTCATTTACGGGTGCGTCCTCCTCCGTCTCCATAGCTCTCATGTCCCTTGGGTGAGCTCCATTATGTCTCCTTTGATCACAGCGGCAGTAGCCCCCCTCCGGAAGCCAGAGAGGCAGAGGACATTCACGCGGCTCCGCACGTGACCAGGTGTTCCGGGACCTCCTGTCACCTGGATGCTCTTGTGACCAACCGTCCATTATCAAAATGCRGCCAGCCCACGGTTGCCCAGAAAACCCATCTTTATGGCCTGAATGGAGGCCCGGGTCTCCAGGGTCCAGTCCCCCCTCAGCTTCTGCTTCTAAGAAACATGCGCATCAGCAGCCGGCCCCGGGCCACGCCAGCCCTCCACATCTGGCCCCGACAGGTGCCCACTCCATCTGGACCCGGGCTCTCCAGACCCCTGTAAGTAGGTCCTCTCTGTGGACGTCCCCCACCCCAGGGCCCTCCAGACCCCTTGGGTCCTCCTTCTAGCATCCTCCTAGTTCTTTCTATTAGGGGCTGCCCGCCCAGCGCCCTGGGACGGCTCTGTGTGCTGGCTGTCCCTCTGAGCCGTCCACAGCACCCCCACCTCAGGGTCCTGCCTTAGTGAGCAGTGACGGCCAGCCCAGTGGTCTGCACCCACCAGCCGTCAACTCCGGGAGGCAGGAGCCRGCTCGTCACTGCTCGGTGCCCGTCAGAGCTCAGGAGCAGGCCCCCAGGGACCTCAGCTGAGCCGCGGGGTCCTTCACGACCKGCTGGAAGCCACACAGTCACCTCCTCCTTACTCCGTGGTTGACCAGACACTGACGACTGTGAACCCCTCCACGGACCGAGTGCCAAGGAATTGGCAGACACGTTGAAACCTCCCGCACCTCCAGGGCCTCCGGYCAATCAGTCAGTCAACCAATCAGCCACTATTTATTGATTCCAATGCTCCTGCGCCCGGTTGCTAGTTTGGGCACCCGGCTCCCAGCCAAGGGTCAGGGGTGACTTCCGCCCAGGGACTGCTCCCTAAGCCATGAGCCT